TCTGCTCATGTGAGGATGTGTTTGTCTGCAGCTTTGTCTGATGTGTATTCTATATCTGTCCGTCTGTCGGTGTGGGGGTATGTTTGTCTGTGTGTTTGCGTCTGGCGTGTGCGCATGTGAGTGTGTTCTGGAAACAACCTGTGGGAGTTTGTTTTCGAGGTCGTAGCATGTGGTTGTCCGTCTCTGACTCTACACAATGGGACGGAGCGTCGGCCGTATTTCCTCCTGCACTGCTCAGGTCGAGTGCAGCATGCTCAGCGTTCAGTACGCTGCATGAACCGCAATTCGACAATTCAAAATCCTAACCTGTGTGATGTTCCGAACGAGTAGCGAGAGTAGCTTGGTATTTTTGGATTCTGTAGTCACAGGCTCTTATCGTTATATTGGCTGTGACATGTACGGCGTATCAGCATGAATCTGTTGTGTCATGTGCTTTGAGATGAGAAATGTTTCTTATTCTTTTATCGCAGTCGATCTGTTTTTATGCAGAAAGCTGAGATGGCATTTTTAGAAGTCACCTCTTTTTGTGGCAGATCAGGGCTCCTCCATCTATGTCTGGCCTAGGTTAATGTGTTGGGTGTGAGATTGAAGTTGTTCCTCTACTCATAAAGGTCACTTTAGAGCAGGTTAGATTCTCATTTCATCATCAGTCCCTAACAGAGCTGATATGACTGCTCAAGATTGTTCTTCCTTATGCTTTATTTCAGAGAGCAATAAATCGTCACACTCACTGAAATATTCAACAACTCTGCAAATACCTAGTGACATACTACCACTTTGAACATGCAGGGTGTATTTTAATAGCATAAACAATAAAAAGGAAGTGATTTAAACCAACTCTGTTTTTTGAGCAGCTGAGGGGGGAAAAAAGGCATTTGGAAACCTGTTTTGCTAAAAATAAATGTAAAAGCAATGATTCTGCAAGACACTTAAATTAGATAACACAATCAAAATGGTGTTTGCAGTATGCACGGTGACAAAACAATTAAATCTACATTTGATTGAAATAGATTGTGTTTGCAGACCAAGGACTTAAAAACATCTCTTTTACCTTTTACAAACATTTATAACATTAGTGTTGTATCCCTCAATGGAACCGCTTCCGTTCAACAGGGACACGTTTTGAGTTGTGTTAATGTTCACCTCAATCTGGTAAAGGGTAACCTGGTTAATAGTTCATGTATAAATAGAGTAGGTCTGGATGTCATTTGACGCTTTTTGATACTGGTGTCAATTCAGTACCTGTCAGGTGGAACATGAGACTTGAGGCATGCGTTCTCGAGGGGGTCTCCTTGATCTACTGTGGTGGGATTGTGAAATGTAAATTTCCCAAAACAATAGTTCTTATACACTTTACTTTGAGGAATGTTAACACTTTATTTAAACCGTAACCCCCCCCCGTTTTTGTTCACAAAACAAACCAAACTTCTTAAACACAGCAGCTTGTGATGTTTCAACACAAGCAGCCACACAGATGGCGGAACTTTGCTAAAATGTGGTTTAAAAATGGCAAGTTATGACTTGAATCAAGAGATATCTGATAAGAGAATATGTAAACAAGACCTGACAGCTTTTGCCATGTCATTGCTACGTACACACTCAATTGGCACATATCAAAGCCTGATGGAGAACTTCGGTGAAGAAACTCCACTAGTTATGACACACTGTCTATGACACATAAACCGTTATAGCAATGGGGAAGTTGTAAGTAGAGAGAGACAGAGAGTGGCAGCAGGAAGGGAATGATGGAAGGAGATAGAGATGTGGGAGTGTGGTTAGAGGGGGTGGTGGAAGGGGGGGGTTGGCGGTGCAACCCAAAATAGCCAGCTCACATGTTTGCTGTGTGCGTGGTGAGCTCTGAAACCAGCAGAAAGGCCTCCCGCTGAATGCCTGGATAATCTAATGTTCACTCTCGGCCCTAATTTTTGAAAATTTGATTGCCATTTTGCCGTCCGTACGTCCGTGCGCGTTTGCAACGTCTTTTCCAGTCATAGAGGTTTGTTACGTCCCCTCCCACTGTTCCCTCTGCACTCATCATCTTCATCATTGTCTCTCTTGTCTCCTTAATGTGAACTGATGTTAGACAGCATCTTGGGCTGGCAATAGTCCAGCAGGGAAAAAGGTCAGTGACTAGGCCAGTTTACTCATCTACGCTCATCTTTTTTTGGCCCAGTGTACGTAAGGGGGTGAGGCGTGAGGCAGGTCAAAATCAGATTACACACGCACACACTGTATAAGAGCAGACAGCAGATGCGGCCCGACAGCGTGTGCATTAGATCCAGAACTCCGTCTCGTCCGTCTCTGACTGTTTCATCTAATAAATACTGACTGGCTGCAGCTTCGACCGACAGTTATTCCATCTTCACGCATAGAACGCACACTCACTAACTCGTGTTGGGCAAGCCGAGACACAAACATCCTACACATGTGGTCCTTTCAGTTAATTCCTTTCATTCCACAGAGTGTGTTTCAACATGCACACTGGATTATTTCCTTTCTCCTATCACTCTTGTTCTCTCTTTCTCCCACTTTCTTTTACTTTCTCCAACTCAGTCTCGCTCTGTCTCTGTCTTATGTCAATGTTGTGTCTCTGTGTGCTTAATCAACTGGGTTGTTTATATCAAGGAGGTCCCATGACCCTCTCCACAGCTGATCCTGGGAGCAAAGCATGCTGGGAGTCGAGTAGCTGCAAGGGCGGCATTGGAGCGTGCTGTGATTGGCTCCTTGAGTGTGTGTGTTTTTGTGTGTGTGTGTGTGTGCGTGTACAGTGTGCTGATGTGCACTTTGGTGTTTTTAGCGTTACAGACCCACAGGCAGCCTGTGTTGGCCGATGGAATATATGGTAAGACCTTCAAATGATACAACCAGCTAATCAAAAACACACTGTGACACAGTGGCAAAGGGGTTGCTTCTTCTCACCACAATGTGATGGCAAAATAAAAAAAAGGTAAAAACTCTCATGTCTGATATGTAAATCAGTTCGGTAGAGAGACTGATGAGAGGTTTAAAGGATAGGTTAAAATACTGTTCTGGAAGTCATTGTTTGGCCCACTTCAGGAGGGTTAAATACTGGTCTTGTACTTAATGAATTGTTTCTGTTCCTGTTTAAATTTAGGGCTGCGTCATTACAGCAAAATTCTCTAAATGAGTTGGACTGCAGTTTTAGTAGGGGTGTAATAATTCCCTCAATTCTAAGCTCAATTCATTTTCAATACGTCATGAAATAAGGCCTTCTTGAGAAGTGCCCTAATTTTCTATTTTCATTTTTTTATAATTCAGCTACTGAATTGTGATGTTTAAGACTTTGACATAAAAAAATGGAACTTTGCCTGACCCATTTAGCTGCTTTTCTCAGCAGCAGCAGAAAACAGGAGCATTATTCAACAGATTTTGAACAAAGCAGTCTTATAAGAAACAATACACTGTGATACATTATATCGTTGCACCCCTACTGATGCCTTGAGAAAAAAACTATTTTTACTACATTTGGTATCTTTTATCATTTAAAAGTTTTTCCCCCCGCGGAGGTCTCGAAGTTGGTACTTACGACTGTACTTGTGAAACTGCAACACTAACACCGCAGCATGTAATCATGCATGAGTAATTGTGCAGACCTGTTTATGAAAATGTATTGTGGTTGGAATGACGAACTGTTTATGAGTCAGTTGCCAGTTTATTTGGTACATCTAGCTAAAATGAATGGACTCTAATACAACAGTCCTACAATAAATCCTGCCTTCATGAAGGTTAAAATGTTCTGTTGTTTAAAACTGTTTTAGATAGGTGCTGATTAAACTTTATAGTCATTTTGGAGACAAATCAAATGATGTCCTTCATGAAGGTAGAATTATTTGCTGGTGGGGCACAAAAATAAGCACCTGCCAAATACTGGTAAAATGTGCAACTGGCAGATTTGCTTCATTCACTAGCTAAAAAACAATGGTAATCTGTTGAGTCGAGTGGCAATTTGAACATTCACTAGCCATTTGGCTGGTGGACAAAAACGTTATTTTGCACCATGTTTGCAGGATTGTTGTATTTGACTGCAT